AATCACAAGCGACAGAACTATGTGTATGACGAGAAGAGTGAACGACTCCTCTTCAAAGCGTTTAAACATCGGACAAGAACAAGAAAGTGGGTGCAAGGATCCTGTTAAAAAAAAAAAAAAAAAACGCGCGACAGCTTGTAGGGTCTGACGAATTATCCAAGTCCGCCATTGCTTGCTTACGTACAGTTCTCAACAAAATAAAATGGACCAGCGGAGTGCGTGGCCTCTGAGATATACGCATTTACGCTATAATTATGCCTACAGTAATTAAATGCGTGGCTATATTCCTTCCTCTATTGAAGACTACCTGTCTGTGCTAGTTGTAGAGGCTGGATTAATAATATATGCCAAACAAGCGGAGCATGAACAGTTACTTTGCCACGTGCTTCGCTAGTTCATTTCGTTTTGTTCAGCAGTCTTACTCTAAGAATGTTTTGGACACGAGGGTCGCGTCAGCGTCCTACGTGAGCTCGGCTCAGGCGGCGCAACGAGAACGAGTCTTGTGTCGGCGTTTGTCTGAGTGAGCGGTTCCGATCACTTATTTCGCGCCCAAAAGATGAAAACCACTAACGTCACTTGATGGTATTTCAGAAAAGAGTCTGTTGTGCCCATGTATCTTGTTTGCCGTGAGCTAAGTTTGAAAAGGCGTTACATGATTTCGTTCCCGGAACAGATTGTCAGTACTGTGCATATATAACATGATTCAGCATGCGGAAATCGTGAAAAATTTTATATTTCTTTATTAAAAAAAGGTTCAATAAACAGTTTGTGAAAAAGCTCGACGAAACCCGAGCCCCTATGAAATAGACTCCAGGCAAATAAACGCAAAATAAAAAGAAATAAAAAAAAAAAAAAAAAAAAAAACAGGAGATTGCAAGGAGTCACCTGATATTGAGCGGATGCGAATTGGTTTCTATATAACTATAAGTGAATAAAATGGACGTTGGGCTACCCTACCGGCAAAACCGAATATAAATTTTTTGATATCTGGATTATGAAACTGGAAATCTAAGTGAAATTTTTTCTGGAAAACTGAAATCCAGGTTTCAGACAAAGGAATAATTTCGGAAAACCTTAAATCCAAGTAGAATAATAAAAAAAAAAAGATTTGTAATTTCATATTTTAGGGGGCGAAAAGTTATATTTCGATTTAGAGTAGGCTACTCATAATGTTTCTTTATAAAACAATAACATAAAAAGTTCAAGCTCTTAAAAAAAAGGACAAAGCCGCTGGTCTTTATGTTTAAGATCTTACACGCCGGCTCTACCGCGACCATGCCTTAAAAATTAAAAAAAAATAATAAAGAAAAACGAAAAGTTTATTTTAGTTAACAGAAAGGTATGTTTTAGGCTAATATTTTAAGATTGATTTTGCGACGACGGGGAAAATTCTAACCACAAGAACATCAGGCAACCCACCGATGTGAGAGGTACTTTTGCGAGGGAAGCAACAATTTCCAGCCGCACTGGCGACCAGTCAATTTGTTTCCCGTTGACACAGAAGCTGTCAACACTCGAAGGCGAGTTAGGAATTATGGTGCGTTTCGCTTCGATGAACTCGAGCGCGCTGCATTTGTGTCACTGGAGCACGAAACGTCCGAGTGGCAGTGATGGGACAGCGTAGCAGTCGCCGGAAAGTGAATGCACCAGTAGAGAAGGTTGCGCACTTCGCCGTGAAAGCGAAAGTGAAAGTGAATTAACCCTGTTTCTTTTTTTGTTATCATACTGAAATATATACTTCGAGATGAAATTGCCCGAACAGTGTCTACAATGAGTTAAGTTCTTATCGAGTCGTACTATGGAATTGTACGGTACACTTCGAATGACAGGCTGGAATTCCTAACGAGGAAAGAGCAACAATTGGAAGATCCCTTTTGCTAAGTGTTTGATTATCAAAACTGCTCATCCTAACGCTGCCTTTTTAACTGAAATTTAAGTGGTTCAAACGAATCGTTTAGCCTAACATTCCTTTCAAGGTAATTCAATAGCGTTGAAAGCATTCGTGTTGTCTTCGTTCTTGCACCGGCTATTTATATTTACAGTCATTCTTGTTTAAAAGCGCCACCGCAGATTCCTTTTTTTCTTTCTTCTTTTTTTTTTTTTTGTAAGTACCCAGTAAAGTGCAGTAAAACCTTGGGGATAACGTCTGCATTGGAACCATGGGGATATTAATTGATGTTTTGTTCTTGGAGTCGTGGCATATCCGGAACACACCGGGGAACATTAACAGGTCCCTCGGGGCCTTACCATCTATTTACGTTGATGGCCTGCGTCACGTTCACAAAACATCAACTCGGTAGAAGAGGAAGAAGAGGTCGAGGCTCGGGCTGTCCCATTTCATATTTATTAACCCCTGAAGGAGGAGTCAAGTCGACTCCGAGACGTTGGGAACTGTTTGTTTCTAAGCTTTTGGTCTGAGTTTTCTTTTTTTCGTATTATATAAGCTGGAGCGCGTCTGATTCGTGGTTCCTTATAAGCGCCATTTTGTTTTTATTCTGTACCTGAACTGTTCTTCATCGGCGCGCACCGAAGCGCTGTACTTTCCTATGTTAGCAAATCTTTCTCAGTTAATTTTCCCCTCCACCGGATTCACGGATTCACGGATTCGTGGATTGACCGGATTCGCGGTATTATTGTTTTTGGCAGTTTCGTTCATTCTTGCAATGTTAAGCAATAGAAACTGTAGTATCCGACAAGCGGGAATGTAGTTTAGTTTAGAAGACACTTCACGTCTTCGTCTCATTGAATGCGTATATTGGAAGGCTGCCTTCTAGGGACGACCTACATGTTCTTATTTCTGGTGCACTAGTCTTAAACACACACGTGCTCCGCACATATAACATAGGATTGACACTTTGTAACGAAGTGAAACAGTTTAGATGATTCTCTAATACAAAGTGCAGACAAATGAATGTCCCTGTGTAAGCCAGCTGCTTAATTTGCATGAATTGCTTTTATGCGGTAGTGCGGTCGCGCTCTGAAACACAACAGCGTACTGCTATACTTCAGTATAGTAGTACGCTGTTTAGATGCCTCCAGTGTAAAAACTGCAACGTTTTTCGTCTTAGTAATTATGTTGTGCCACGAGTGACACTAGTGTCACTGAAAGAAAAACAGTTCGGTAAATTAGGGCAGTATCAAACAAGAAACCTTACCATTTTTTTTAATGTATAGTATATAGCAGTTAGAATACACATCACACGTGCGATTAAGTAGCAAGCATTTAGATATGAAGAAGAGTTAGAGATTCCAAAAAAATAGAAGGCGCGACGAACCTTCTGTTACCCGGCCAGGAATATTTTCTTCGCGTCACTGCGGGGGCAATGCCGTCGGCAGATCGCATAAGCAGTAGCTTCGCCTCACGGGAATCTGATTTCAGCACACGCGAAGTGCCCACGCCTGCTATGTGCAAACGAGGGGAGTTTATTTATTTACTTATTTATTTTCCTTAAAGCCCGTTTCGGGGTATTAAACAAACAAAAAAAAAAGGGGGGGGGGGGTTACGATTAAAATTTTACAGTTCTAATACAATTATAAATCTAGTTTCTATGGTTCATAAATGTACTGGTTATCATATGAAATTTAGTGGTGTTAGTTTTTGTGAGCACCTCATTTGGGAATAAATTTCATTCGGCAATTGCAAGCGATAGTGTGGAATTAGCGAAAAACGAAGATGAAGCACGAGTGAATTTAATTTTACACACATTGTCAACTCTTGTAGAAGGTCCGGTCGGGCGTGTTCAGAAGGGCCTTTTTCATATAGGGGTTGTGAGGATATATATTATGAGGAAGGAGGTGGTCTGAAGAGCTTGCGACGTATGGAAAGGGTTTGGATGCCTGCACGATTGCGAAGTGACCTGACGCTGGTATATAATAGTCTCTGTGAAGTATATAAAGAATGCTTTCTACATCGTTAATGAGATAATTGTGAAATGGCGAGCCTATCGACGATGCATATTCAAATTGAGATATTAGCTGGGCTGTGTGGGCAGATTTTTGTTTTCATTTCAGGTGAAGCGAATTTCAGGTTGCGTCTTAGATAGCCAAGTGTGCGGTTAGTCTTTAAAACAACTTCTTTAATCTGGCTGTTCCGCGTGAGGTCGGTGGTGACGTGAAGTTATAAATACTCATACGATGTGCGGTGGCCAATGTGTGTTTTGTGCATAGGAGAGTTTTCCCAGTGGACAAATCGATGCACAAGAAACGCGCTGCCGACGTTCGGAGTCAACCAATTAGAACTCTGAAAAGTCCTGTCGATGGACGCGGGTTCAGGGAAGCCAATATGGAGGACACGAAAACGCGGAAAAAATGAAGCACATGGATGCGCTGAAGATACAACTCCTAAAGCAGGTGGTAGGTAACTCCGAGCACCTATTAATTCTTTACATGCTTCACATTGTACTAAAGTTTACTGGTTTAGTGGTTTTCGATAAGGCTGAGAAAGTTTCTAATTGTTACTGTATGCTTATTGTCACTGATTAAGAAGTTACTTAAGAAATGTCAGCAAAGAATCGGATTAATTGTGACGATTATCTCTTTATTTTATATCCCCCTGGCCGTAAAACTCACATGCGCAGACCACATAGCGTAGGTTTTACGCCTTTTTGAGAAAAACCTGGACCATCTAAAAAACATTCTGTGCATCCATAGTATAATAGTGCTGTAGTTGTTCACGTTATCTTCAGTCTCTTAGATTTAAGTAATTTTTAGAGTAGGTCAAAACTTCCGATTACCCATATTACATCACTTACGTCCATGTTTGTATGTTTTTTTAGCTGTGGAAAAAGCTTTTTTTTTTGTCAGATATGGCTATATGCACACAATAATTCAATTTGACATTTCAATATAAACTTTATTAGCAGGAAAAGTAGACAAGAAATGAAGAGCAACAAAACGCACAAGGAAAGCTTTGGTGGGTAATCATACTTAATTTTCTCCGATCACAAACATCATAGGGCAGCGTCTAGCTTTAATGGAGATCGAAGCCCCTAATCCATCGTATGTCACATCAAACTCGCGCTGCAGTCAGAACATAGTTCTTTACCTTGCTATGCCTGTTCACGGATGTCCACATGAGAGATCTTTGGTAGAAGCAGGAACTTCCATGGCAATAAAAAAGAAGCACCAAGTTAAAAGAGAGCAAAGATGAGGATGGCGGAAAGAATGATACCGTTGAGGTCATCCCATGTACAAGGCTCTAGCATCTCTGAACTGCAGCAATGGCACTTCACCCAAAGAAAAAATTAAGCTTCGTTTACCGCATGCAAAGCAAAGACCGCCAACGAGGGAACAACCAATTGACCAACAGCACGTTTATTCAGACGATAACGACAAAGGACAACAACACGCAGGACTAAGCGACGTAACAAAAAGCGCCTATTTGAGCAGCGATTCGAAAAGAAGGGGAGGACTTTACACGAGGCACACGAAGAGAAGAGACAGAAGAACGCAATTGAGTCAACAGAGAGTTCAACTACTAAAGCTTAACTTAATAGAGATGCTTGATGTGGCCGCCGTAGCCACCTCCAAAACCGTAGCCCCCGTAGCCGCCGAAGCCCGTTCCAGGAATGGCGGGTCCGAAGACGTGGGCTGCCTTGGTGGCACCAGCACCCAGACCTGCACCATAGGCACCTCCGTAGCCTCCGCCGTAGGGTCCACCGTAGCCTCCTCCGTAGGCTCCACCGTAGCCCCCACCGTAGCCTCCACCGTAGCCTCCTCCATAGCCTCCGTAGCCTCCGTATCCGGCGGGAACCACGAGGACTGGAGCATTGATGCCGGCTGAGGCCGGGGACGACGGAGCGGTGCCGGGCTCGTTGGTGTGGATGGAGGCGCGGAATCCGCCGCCGTCAGCGACGTACTTCACGGTTCGGGTGCGGCCGTCAGCGCCGCGAAGGCTGTAGGAGCCCTTCTTGTTGCCAGCTCCGTCGCCGGACTCCCATCGGGAGGTGCCGCCCGTGCCGTGTTGCTCGTTGTAGCCGAACTGGTAGTTGCCGCTGATCTACGCATGTGCAAACCAGGAAAGGGTGTGGATTAGTGTGAGATATATGATTCACCTTTTCACTAAGAACGAAAGAAATGGAGCGGGATTTCTAGAAAAAATGTAAAGTTAGCTTTACAAGTTCGCTGAGCAACCTCCACTGAAAGTAAAGCGAGAGTTCAGGTGATCTGGTTTAAGACTGATATAATAGGGACTTCTAGTTAGTAAACTTAAGCTTCGCTTTGCTAGCGGGAGCTCGTGCAGTCGCTTTTAAGCATGGATTGAGCACGCATCCGCTGGGCCCCCTTTCCGCAAAATACGGATTACTAAAACTCTGTAGTAACCCTGGAAGGCGGGGAAATAAGGCGGTCAAAACACAAAACTGCAAAGTGGAGTTTTGTGTGTTATCCATCTTTTTTACCCCGTGCTTCAGGGTTACTATGCCATCCTCCACTAAATTTTCTAGAAGCGGAATTCGACAGACAGCTTCGATTGAGCTCAAAACGTATATCTAAGCAAAGCTACTCTCTTAGAAAACGAGGGTATATTCTTGCACCCCTTGTCCCATATAATACACACAAAACTTCAGCTTGACGGGCAGCGCTCTGACGTCGAGTCGACGATACCAACTTTCATGCGCGGCTTGATAGCCGAGTGGTACAACCTGTTAAAAAAGCTAATGGACGTCTTACTAGATATAAAAAAGTAATCGGGGTTCTGTTGGCAGTACTGCAAAATCCCAATATTTCTTTTTCTAGTCCTTGATGCGCACTTCAGCTGTTTAATAAGTCAAATCGCACCGTTGTCGAGCCCCTCGCAAACGCTGTGGCCGTTTGTTGGACGTCAGTGCGCTGTACGTCGAACTGAAGCTTTGGGATGTATTATATGGGACAAAACGGGTGTAAAAGTACATTATTTTGTTTTATAGTGTATGTGTTTGCATCTTGTACTCTGAGACGTTTCTTCTCCTGGTGGTACAGACTTCATTCAGAATGCGTGCTAACTTTAAATATGTACGAAGGATACTCGAAAGTTGGCGTAAAAGTGGAACAAATTATCCTTACGTCCTGAGAACGGTGGCTCGTGGAGGTTCCACCCCCGCCATAACCACCCGGGAAACCGGCGTTGGCAGCGGCAAAAAGAGCGATGAGAATGAAAACCTGTAATCAGAAAGAGACCGGTTAACATTTTTGTTCGTCAGACTGTAAATTCGGGATGTGGGAGACGTTTAAGAAGTACCACGGTTTCAATGATTAAAAAGAGTAGCTGTTCGTCTAAACGTATTCACTGTTGTGTGAGTTATTTATTATATCTTCTGTTTGACTTTACTGCTGTTCCACCCAAGTTAACTGTACTACTTGAAGAATGTTTTATAAATATGTTAGGATTTTAAAAATTTACAACCAAACGATAACAGACTACAAAAATTGTTGTACATTGTGAGGGGTTTATCAATTAAAATATTTAAAAGGCAGCGTAAAGAAAAATACTATTGGGACATTTTGTTACGTATTTAGATATAGCGTATTAGAATTTATTATAGGTTGTCACTTGATTGAACCGATTCTTGCTTGTAAATTTGTAATGAACCTACAATTGCTTATTGAGAAACTTCTAAACTTTTCAGACTTCTATGTGGCCTGCGCAATACATTTTTATCTCCATTTCTTAATCAACTTCAAGAATATTGAAACAATTGTCAAACTGTACTATGCCACTTGTGCTCAGAGTTGAAATGTTAATATATGTGAATAATTGTTTTACAAAAGAAATCACATGAATGCTAGCCCTGACGCTGGGTAGGCCACAAGCGCCCAGGTCGCAATTTCTCCGTTACTTAAGTTAGGAACCACGCAAGCTCCGCGTTGCCGACCTACCTTCATGGTAGTAGTCCACTGGTCTGAAGTCAGGGATGGGAAACACCGCTGTGGTGCCCTGTCCCTCAAGCCTGGCCCCTTATATACCTTGAAGGGAAAGCGCCTCCACGCGTACGGTTATAGCTGTCTAAAGTACGGAGGAGGCCACGTGATCACCGTTTCTTTTCAAATGCCGTTTCTCTGCCCCGCAACTGCTGATCTAGTTTGCGGCTCGCGGCGAAAAAGACGGGGAATCAGTTCGTCTGATGACAGAGGGCGAAGGAATGCTCCGGGAGCCCCTATCAGCCGCCATTGTGATCCCAAGGACGCCGGCTCCAGAAGTCATCGGAAGCTGTTGTATCCGCGTCTCTCTGATCCGTGTCCAGGTTAAGTTAATAACGAGTTTTTTGGCCTCCGTCAACTTGCTTTCTTTCCGGCCGCGCGCCTTTCGGAATGGGGGTGGTGGTCTTGGCTTCCCTTTTTGTTGATCTTGGGTTGCCTAGCTTTCTTCAAAAGTGAATTCGTGATGTTCTTTTTTCGTGGGAATGTCACGCCGACGCTCGAAGCACGCGTAATCGTCTGGCTGGTTGGCGCGAGTCGGTTGGCTAAGGTTGAATGTATTCCAGCCTTTGATGCAGACCTGCGTGTTTGACTACAAGATTAGGTTATGATCCAAAACTACACTCCCCCAGCGTGAAACGCGATGCAAGTTTCGATGCAATGCTCGCGCCAGGGGGTGCCCAACCTTCCTGTTATCACTCTCGATTGTTGCTCTAGGCTATCATGTATCACGGCGTTTCTACAAGCCTCCTGATAAAAATTTAATTCCTAACATAACCCCCCCCCCTCCAAAAAAATAAATAAAAAGAAGAAGAAGAACCGGTCAGTCTTGTCGTTTAGCCAGGGCCTGAGTGATGGACATGCCCGAAAAGAAAAAAAAAAACTATCTTTCCAGTTCAGGCGCAAATTACCCGTACGCAGCGGTGTGATGGGTTGCCAATTAAAATGACACTTTGAAGCAGCCCACAGTCTCATGCGTTATTACGGCACTATGTATTAATTCTTTACAAGTATATATCTATTGTAATGTAAAGGTTAAGTATAAATGTTGATCCAACAGAGTTGGTAAAATGAAACGTAAATAAGTAAAATGCAGTAGTGTTAGAAACAAAATACAAGATAAGGGCTGTACTGTGCGTATTGTATTAGGGTCATGTTCAGTTACCAAATATAGAGGCTACTAAAGTAATTCCCAGGCAGTTCTCTCGAGCAATCAAAGCGGTTAAAGAAGCCTTCTTTCAATTTTTTTCCCTGAGGAGTACATGGAGCTTCAAATATTAATATATAGTAAGAGAAGCTAAGAAATATAATGTTGATTTAAGCTTTCGCTCCAAACAGATATGATCATTGCTGGGATGCAAAACGTAACGTTTTTTTTGTTATGCTCCAGACCCCTTTGATAAATATTTGTTATTTAGAGACGCATTACGACACGAACTAAAGAAAAAACGAGTGAGTGGGCAGCACAAAATATACTTTATAACAACTATATTTTAGGCGAACACTTTTGAGTGCGAAAATTGGAATGATACACTATACATACTGGTGCATATAGTGGTCATCATTGATGCATTTCTACTTGAACAATTAACTGGACAATCAAAACTCACTATTGTTCTTGTTTGAGAGCATCGTGGTCCAGGAAATGGGGCGCAGGTAAAGCGATATTGAACACTGAGATCGGTGAGACGTGTTGCAGCATTCGTATTGAATGACAAGGAATATAAACGGGAACATCTAGTTCAAGCAAAAAATCTGTCTCTTTATTTGTAACATTTTACTATAATATATTCTGCAATCAAGCCCGCTGGGGCAGACCTCGAAAAGATTTTGCAAAGAAAGCTCTTTGCGACTAACCTAACAAGCTGAAACCCTTTATAAGGAAAATCCCAGGTTTCACTGGGGCCAGAAAAAAAAAGCAGTAAAAATTTGAGACAGAACAGAACCCGAGAAAGGTACGTTTCCTGCCAGGCTACAAGAGAAACAATCTTTGCTTTGAGAAGACCTCAAAGAACGAGACACAATAGACACCAACGACGATCGCGAGTGCTCTGAATCTTGTAATTCTTTTGTAACAGATCCCCCTAAACTCGGAAATTTGTCGATCCATTCGTGTCCGTCCGTCCGTGCGTTTCCCCGCTAAATTTAGCAGAGAAACCGACGTCCTGTGACGTCAGGGCGCCGGTTTCTCTGTTTGGCAATGCCTTAGCAACAATATGTCACGTCACGTGACCGCGTCGCTACCCCGTGGCGTCATTATGCTTCCTAAATTTAGCAGGTAAACTGACCGCACGTGATATCATGATATTGCCACGCGCGTCTCCGAAGAAGCGCGCCTGTGGCCGAATGGTTATCGTGCTTGGCTCCCACACAAGGGGCTGAGGTTCCATGCCTGGCCGCGGATGTAGCTTTTTGTTGTTTCTGTAAATGTCGCGTTCTAATAAATTCAAAAACCCTGTTACTTGATCGAGTTCCGAATGTTCTACGTGCCGAACCTTCTGCGCTAATTGTTCCAGAAGCCCACGCAGGTACATAAGGGGCTCCGCGAGGCGAGCCGCAGTCAGCCTTGTCTCAGAGCTCGATCCTGCTGTTTCGCCGGCATCAACGCCTGCGACGCTAGCCTTCTTCAATTTTTTTTTTTTTTTTGGGGGGGTGGGGGGGGGGGGGCACAAGTTCGCTTCATTAAAGGTTTAGTTTCCTTCAGGAGCGAGTTGCTGCGGACGTTCACCACTCACCACCGACGGGAAAAGGCAGAGGACATCCTTCAAATGCGAGCCCAGGGCCCCAATGAAACCGTCACGAGCTCCGTTGAAGACATCTTGAGCCTGAGCAGCCGTGCCGACCAACAAGCCACAGACGACAAGAAGCTGCGGATCCTCATGCGCGGGGTGAGAGAAGATATCTTTGGAGGCCTCGTTCGGAACCCGCCGACAACCGTCGACGCCTTCATCACTGAGGCAACCAACATCGAATGCGCCCTCCAGCGCGCACTTCCCACTACCGGCAACATTCAGGCGTCGCTGCATCCACACTGTATCGCTTCTAAATCGACCTTTTTTCCCCGGAAATCCGTGAAATTATCCTGAACGTCGTCTGGAAGGAATTCAGGAGTGTGCTGCCAACCGCTAGTTGTCAGACCCTCTCTATTGCTGAGGCTGTGCGCGCGGAATTTAAAGGGCGGTCTAACCTGAAGTTCCCATCAACACAACGACGCCGGAAGAACTGACGCTGTGCTACGCCACCCTGGCCGACGACCGCCGCAAGCTAACCGCCAAGCCACGGTGCCACCACAACGAGACACTCCGATGCCAGAGTACCCTCGACGCCCGAAAGGACGGGCCCAGTACATCCGCCCGGATTGACCCTCGCCGAAAAAGACCGACGTGTCGAGGACGGCCGACCGACGCTCTTTGTGCTACCGCTGCGGTGAAGTCGACCACATCTTCTGCCGTTGCCCCTACCGGAAAATAGGGCTACGGGGATTCCCCAAACGACCCACGTCCACGCCACGGTGAGCGACCGCGGGAGTTCGAAGAGTACTTCTGACGACCTCAGTCTTCTCCACCTGCACCTCGCCGCGGGTCCCGGTCGCCGATGCGCCGACACCGTCGTGAGAGCCTGTCTCCATTGTCGTACTGGGAAGACTAAGCGCGGCAACCCCTGAAGGTGAAGTTTCCTTAGACTGACGACGTAAAGAGCTCCATAAACGCAGGAGACCTCCCACTCGACCGACGCCATGTATTGGAGCGACGCTTCTGCCATGGTGCCCAACAGCCTCAACGTGACTATTGACGGCCACGACACGTTGGCACTCGCGGACACCGGAGCAGATTACTCCGTCTTGAGTAGGAGGCTTTCACGCAGTCTTCGGAAAACGACGCCGCCGTGGTATGGCAATCAAATACGAACCGCCGGTGGCCACCTCATTACATCAGTCGGGAGATGCACTGCTCTAGTCGAGATCCACGGTAAGACGTGCTCTACGAAGTTCGTCATTCTGCAAGACTGTGCAAGGAACGTTATCCTCGGAATGGACTTTCTCTGCGAGTATGGCGCCGTCATTGACCTCGTAGCAAACCTGTTGACGCTACGAATTACTGTTCCGCCAACAGAGGAACCCAAAGCGCCGTCATCCAAGGTCCGAGTCTTCGCAAACCACGTGAACTTACCGCCTTAGTAGAGTGTTTTTGTACCTGATGGGATCTATGAAAATTCCTGCGACGAAGTTCGGATCGAGGCAAGCCTCCACTTGCTTCTAGAAAAAGTAATCGGCGTCTTACGAGGAGTAACAGAACTTCAAGCCGGGAGCGCTATGGTACTAGTTACAAATTTCCAACAAGAGCCGCAGCACCTTGCGAAAGGTATCGCTGTGGGCCATCCGGAACTGAGCTTCCATCGCTGCGCTTTCGGAAGAGCCGACTTTATCGCAGCACGAGAGAAGGCCGCCCTCGGAACTTGACATCGACCTGAAGCTTCCAGCTACTGAACGAGGACGATTGTTTGACCTTCTGAGCGAATTTGGCGTGTGTTTCGCCTGGACATCAAGGGTACGACAAACAACGAAAGCGAAGCACCGTCTCCCTTTAATTTCAATTCAATTTCAATTTTTATTTTTAGATCAAGTCGTACAAAATAAAGAGCTGGCCCACAAAATCAGCATTCTGCTAGTATGTGGGGCCAGGCGACCAACTAGAATACATGTTACTGACGACGACGCGCTCCCTGTCCATCGGCCGCCGCACCGAGTCTCCATAAAGGAAAGATAGGGCATGCATTCAAGATGATGTCCAGGAAATGCTCGGCGACGACATCACTCAACCCTCAAGAAGTGCGTGGGCGTCCCCAGTCGTCCTCGTAAAGACGAAGGGTGGAATACTGAGGTTCTGCGTGGATTATCGTCGACTCAACGCTGGGACTAAGAAGGACGACTATCCGCTCTCCCGCATCGACTATACGTTAGACCGGCT